CTCTCTCTCTCTCTCTCTCTCTCTCTCTCTCTCTCTCTCTCTCTCTCTCTCTCTCTCTCTCTCTCTCTCTCTCTCTCTCCCTTCGTCGTCGTTTTGCAAGTGCGCAGCGTCATCCTGCAGCGACACAGCTATGGTGCCCAACTGCTGACATGGTGCCCAACTGGCACCTCTCCTCCTTGCTCTATGGCGCAACTGCTGACGTGGTGCCCAACTGGCGCCTCTTCTTCTTCTTGTCGATGACGACGATGGCTATGCGGAACAGCAGGAACCAGCTCTGATACCAATTGCAACCAGACTCGTCTTCTTCTTCTCTAAGCATGCATGGACACAGATGACAATCACACTGGCCCCAGGCGCCCACACAAAGCTCAGAGATATTGTGACCAAGAACACATTTCAGATTCAGACTTGCTCCGAATGGCTATGGCGCCTGTGCGCCCTCACAACATCCAGCCTACACTGTATTCCCAGCGGCTGTTCACACGCACGCTACTCTCGATCTCCCTGGATGTCCCACACATGCACACACTGAACATAACACTCACACACTTACACGTATATTGTGACCTCTCGTCTCCTTCGCAGCCCACTTCTCCTTCGGGCACCTGCAGACCTCCTTGCACAAGACGCTTAGGCAGCGCTTCCGCACGGCTCACAGGCAAAATGAATGAGTGACTGGACGCTGCCTCTTGATTTATACTTCGGTTGGTCGCTGGTCTGCCCCTCTCCACCAGGCCCAGGGTGCACACAGTCACACGTGGTACTTGCTGACTGGACAAAGTGCGACTGGGACTGGGTACCGCTGACTAGGCGAGGTTGGACTGCCCACTGCCCACTTGCCCACTTGCCTCTAGCCTAACCTAAGCAATTCTTGAAAGGTCACTTCCGGACCTTCCGGAAGTCTGTAGACTTGACCTTTCAGGACTGTAGCAGCTACGACCTTGACCTTTCAGGACTGTAGAAGCTACGACTTTTACACAGCTACGACCCCTACTTGACAGACCTATGGTTCAAGACCCGACGACCACACTAACCTGCGACAGACAGCAGAGGACTACCAAAACACAGGTCATGGGTCGACTTGGTACTGTACACGGGTGAGGGCAAGGTCTAGAGATCGAGCCCTGGGATCTGCGTCTGCTACTGCAAAGGTGAAAACCGTTTCGAAGGGGACGCTGGACCCGGTTTCCAGCCAAGCCAAAGCTGGGTACTGGCCACAGTACACCGGGTTGAGATGTGGAGGGATTCCCGGCCTCCTTTTGCAATAATATTGGGGGGCCTCTTGAGTCAAGCTACCCAAGACCTGTTTGTACTGTTTGACCCTACAAATGAAGCAGGTCTCAGTTGGTTCTCCCATGATATCCTGTTGGACATACTAGTACGTAAAGCCAATTATGTATAGTCAGAAGAAGAAATGTACACGTCTTTGTGCGATCCTTCGCCACATGATCTTGCATAGCTCGATAGATTGCGACGCGAAAGTGTGGCAGCTACTACGAGGCCACGGGACAGGCCTTGATCCTCAACTAGCCCTCAATGATCGATCTGGTCTAGGCGATTTATGGTAAGGATAGGGCATGTGACCAAGGTCTGAGGACAGCAGACCTAGACTTATGCTCCCTTAATGTAAATGGACTGCCAACTGCCAGCCAAGAGAAAAAACGAGCAATATGGGAGGAACTACAGGGCATTTTAGAGGCAGAAAGTGGCCTGATGTGATATGCGTACAGGAGACTCATCTGATGGACATACCAGAACACCACAGAGCCCACAGGGTATGTGGTCACATCAGGCCTTCAAGGCACACACCCTCAGGCATGGCAGTGCAGCAGTAGCAATTTGGCTGCCCCCCGATCCCAAGGTCGACCCCATCAACTGGGCGGCCAATTGGGAGGGGAGAGGAGGTGGGTATCTATTCTGGCCATGCTCAAACTTGAAGTGGTTTGCATTATTTGTGTATATGGCCCAAATTCGGTAGGGGAAAGGCGAGCCTTCTTTGAATCGATCAAATTGCAAGTACAGGACGGCATCCTGCTGATCCTGGCTAGGGACTTCAACGCAGCATTGAACAGATGGCAGGATCGTTGGGGAATCCCTTCCCCATGTCCGCCTTATATTTAGGAGGTCATGAGAAGAGTAGTCACGCCGACGGTCGGCGCCCCTGGATTGGTCGGGGGCCAATCAGCCGACCGTTCCACTGGTCGGCACCTACCGGTCGGGGGTCGGTCGGCACCTCGCAAACAAAAAGAGAAAAAAAAAAGAGGTCCAGAACCCCAAATATCTC